ACATTAATAGGAGCCTTTTTCAAGCCTTTCTTGTATATCCAGAAAGATGCCACATCTGATAATATTCTCTTATGCCCTCCTTCCTCCACTTCAATTTTTAGAAAATAAATAATAAAACCTCGCTGAAGAAATGGAAAGACTTTGGGGGTAAAAAAGGAGAAGATTATACTTATACCTATGCGTATTCTAGGTCCCAGACATTGAAATCCAAATGGAGCAAGTTTGGGGCAATGAGCCTCTGAGGAAGCATGCTGTGGAGGAGGTGAGTCTCAGTGCCACTTATCCCCACGCCAGGCACGTGCAAACTTCAACCACGGCACAGCTATCTTTGGTTTTGCATCTGCTAGTGTAAGTCCTCCATGTCAGAATACTAGTGAATAAGATCAAGGAATATTCTTATTGGGTTTTTACAATTACAGCCTGCCTATATTATCCCTACTTGGGGTAGACCAGCAGCCTGATTGATCTGCCATTGTCTAGTTTTTCTGCCAACACATCACTGAGAACACATGACTTGTCTCGATCACAGTTTTGTCACTTTAATTATTGATCCCATATTAATTTTCCTCATTTCTTTTCCATTTTCAATTTCACACCCTTTGTATAAACATGTACTGGCCCCTGATTTAATACTCCAACACCAGACCCCATACACTCATCTGTAATACCGTTTATTTGCTATTCTTTACCCCTCAAAAATTGTTTGTACTATCTCCATTTCCTCATTTTTTTTCATTTTCTATTTAACCCACTCCAATTAGTCCTTCAAATACAGATCTCTTTTACATCTCTTCATTTTAGTGTCATCTCAGGTGTCACTTGCTTTGAAAACAATGGTATTTCTACCATTTTTAAAGCAGCCCCCAATTATATTACCATGCCTATTATCTCTGTAGCAGCTATAATGTATAGATAGTACATTACTTATGTAATGTATCTATTGTATTATTGTATTTATAATCTTCAGAGCATGTTACTATTCGGTATGTTGTTATTTATATTTTCTATGTGCTTACTATGTTTTTTCCCAAACATATAAAATGCACAAATGCATCAATCTTGGAAGTCTATCTGCACATAGCTGTGACTTCATACATACTTTATTAAATGAAGAAAGTCTTCTGCCCAGTCTCAACTACTTTACCCAACTCTGAGTACTTGTATACAGATACTGAAATGATGCTGGCTAGATTGGAATAATTAGTACATTCCCTGGACCTTAATATTTTGAACTGTTGTCTGCTTCCAGGAGGTAAGAGAATAAGTAGGAAATGCTCTCTGCTACTCTAGTTAATTTCTCTCCAATTCCATTCAGCTCAGTAGACTTCAATAGAAGTCCCCAGGGCTAGATTATTAGTGATGAACCATGTGTAGGTCACTCCAAATTAATTCATTCTCTTTTGGTCTTTGTATGCTGTGTTATTAAATTGACTGAACAAAATAACCCTTCTGAATGCCAGATTTTCCATACTGAAAAGTTGTTGAAAAATTCACAAATTCTGATTCTATTTGTCCATGTATCTTTCATTTAATATCAGAATGTCTTGCTAAAAATTTTATTCACCATATCAGGATGTCGAAAGTATGTTTCTTCATAGACGAAGTTCAGAGTAAAAATTTAAACCAGCTCTTCCCTGAATTACAGGAGGATACAAGTAAAGACATTTACATTAATGTAAGCAATGGTGATAACCATCTTGATCCAAGAAGGCTGAAGACTTTCTTGATATTAATTAAGAAAGACTCAGTTTTGGAAATTATTTGATTCTAATGAATGCTTTTGAGACATGAAATATGATATAAAACAGAATGGCAAAACTGAGATGAAGAGGGTCCTAATTAAGTAGCCAGGAGTAGAGAATACAACCTTGAAAACCAAAGGAATTGCAAAGAAAGGATTTTGAGGATATTGAGTTAACATTGCAAATGAGGTAGAGAAATAGTTTGAAATAAGAGAAACATCTTTTACCATGATACTGTCTTTCAGGATATTGTGATTATTTCTCTTTTGGAAAATCTATTTAATTGTTCTGAGAAAACAAGTATTTCTAAAATTGTACATTTGTTTGATAGATTCCTTTAGAATGACAATAAACACTCAGCAAAAAAAAATCTATTTTACTTATGGAATTTTCATAATGCCAAGGGAACCAAAGTATTTCAGAGAATATAATTACAATAATACTTAAAAATGGATCAACATTTAACAATTTAGGCAAAGAATGTACAATTTCAAATTTAAGACAGTTTTCTTAATCACTTAAAATTATTAATGTGTTATTAATCCTTTGCTAGTACTGCTACTGCACTCCAACAGCCACTGAAAACTTTTGTGATTTTGAAAAACACTCAGATCTCTGAGATTTAAGGGAAAAAAAGAACTTTTTAAGAAAACTCTAACCTTGTTGTCTTTTTACAGCTTGGATTCTCTAAAGTATTTTGTGATGAAGAAGGCACATAAAATAATAATGTTAAACTCTGCTTTATTTAAGAAAATAATATTGGATTCCTTCAGGAGAAAAAATAGCTTTATTCAATAACATTTTGTTTGTTTTCATGACAACCTTTTCTTTTGGCCTTTTGTTATCCCATTTCCTTTTCAAAATTGTTAGAGGTATTTGATATATTTACTGAATCTCTGTTGCTTCACCAAAAAAAAAAAAAAAAAAAAATTCAATTGTATTATTGAAAGACCATTTTCTTTGTAGTTGTGAGTGTTTTATTTCAGGACTTACTAAGTTCTCCTTTCTTTTCTAAGGCATGCTAATTTCACCTTCATGTCTAAATAGACTATAGAAATAGAATGTTCTAGAAAAGAAGTTTGCTTTAATATGAGATTAAAGGGATTTGATGATCTGAAGAATCACAGCAACTGACTTGGAACTTTTCAGAGACCAACTCTGCAAAGGGAAGGTCTCCTCCTCACCAGCGAGGCCCAATCCCCTGCCCTCTCCTGGCCTTTCCTGCATTCCTCCTGCATACATGTTCTTCGCCTTCTCTAGCTCTATCTTGTTCTTCCCTTTAATTGTGATAGTTCCTAGAATTTCTTCTATATTCTTCTTTTTTAATTCTGCTTTCTAAAAATTGATATATATTAGTTGTATATATTTGGGGAGTACATGTGATATTTTGATACCTGTATTCAGTGTATCCAACCAGGGTGATTGGGATACCCATCACCTCAGACATTTATCTTTTTCTGTGTTGGGAACTTTCCAAATATTTCTTTTCTAGCTAATTTGAAATAAACAATAATTATGTTAACTATTACTTCCCTGCTACACTATCAACTACTAGAACTGATTCCTTCTAACTGTATTTTATACCCCTTAGCTAACTTCTATTCATTCTATCCTCTTCCTATAATGTTTTCTCTACTTTGTAATCATAACCACTATCAGAACTATAAAATCTTCATCAAAATCCCCAGGCAAAGTAAAATCCTTGACAGCTCATTCATTATTTGTGATAACACTTATGTTATATAACAGGTAATGAGTTTCGCATCTACATGAAATTTGGTGTCTAATTAAAAACTGAAGCCTTATGGCTAGTTTCAAGGAAATAGTAAATATCAACTTAAATAATAATAATGACAACAAACAGGATTTTTATATTATGAAATAATTTGCTATTTATCATCTGCTATTATTAGCACTTCTAATTCTTTTAAAATTATGATTCAGCTTGTTCAACTATTTTTATTATATGAAGCAGAATATGTTTCAATCATTAAAAACTGGAAACATAATATTTAGCAGTGAATTAATGCAATTTGAAATTATAGCTCTAAAATTAAAACAAAAGGGGAAAAAGTCAAATAAATTGTTTTTCTTAAATTTCTCAATATAGTTCAACATTTTATTTAGAGTAGGATTGGGTCCATGAACACCATAACTTGAAAATTTTATTTACATATATTTCATATTACTGATAATTTTAATTATTTATTAATATTTTTGTTTTTGTGTAGTTTATTCTGCATTATTTATGTTGGTATATTATTTAATTGATATAAAAAAGAAAAGCAATCTGAGAAAAACCTAACAAAAAACAAAAAACTGAACAATTACTGCCCCATAGGAAATCACATTTTATAAAAATTAAAGTTTCTATCCCTCAGATATTAAATATGTTATTCTGAAAATTGCATACTCCTCACATATTCAGTACTCAGTCATATTCTTTGACTTTTCTTATCTATATTTCTAAGTTGTATAAGATAGTAAACAATGTATTTCCTCTTCGAAAGTATTAATGCTAGAGCCTAAATTTATACATTACCAAAGAGTACCATCTCCACTTTTTCGAAACTGACTTCTAATATCATTATATCATCACATACTAACATTGTGTTTTCAGAGCTCATTTTTTCTAATAACTCACTGAAATACAAATAAGATAAATGACCAACAAAATCTTGAATAAAACTTTTAAATAGATAGCTATACCTATGTAACTCTATATAAAAGTGTATTTTCTTTACATAGATACTTGCAAATGCATTGGCATTTTTATTGAGACATATATACTGAACCACTTATATCCTGCATTTTTAGAGAAAGGTACAGAAAAATCTTGTGATACAGTTAGTCTCTACCTACCCTCCAAAACAGGTAAAGCTTATTCCAAGAATAGCTTGGACTCAGTAGAGTTGTTGATAACTGGAAGTAGAGCTGACAGTCTGCAAATCCTACTAAAAGAAAAGTCTACTGTTTGGATTGGGCAAACCTGACTATATATATTGCAGCAGTCAACATATATGCAGCAATCATACATATGTAAATATGTAGCAATCAAACAGCTCTAATAAACTACATTGATGAGAATGATTTGAGGGTTTTTGTAACATTTTCATTACACAATAAAAATCAATTGAGTACTCACTGACCATTATTCTTGGGTACACTGTGCCTTCTGTTTTAAAAAAACAGGCTGATTTTTAATGATTCTTTTCTTCTCTCTCTCTCTGTCTCTCTCTCCTTTTTTTTATTTTTCAGATGACACGAGAACAATACATACTAGCAACACAACAGAATAACCTGCCAAGGACTGAGAATGCACAACTTTACCCAGTGGGAATTTATGGATGGCGAAAGAGGTGCTTATACTTCTTTGTCCTTCTGCTGTTGGTTACCATGATAGTTAACTTAGCCATGACAATATGGATATTGAAAGTTATGAATTTCACCGTGGTAAGTACTACCATGATTTTACATCTATTGCTTTTGGTTCAAAGATTGTCCAGCTCTGTTTTTATTTTTTTAATTTTTAATCAAAAGTTATTCATTTCAATCTTTACAAATATGTATCTTTAAATTCCAAAGTCAGTCATTTTAATTTAAGCCTACATTGAGTATGTTTAGTCATGATACACATATTATATTACTACCTGGCATTTAAGTGTGGGAAATTTGTATCATGAGACAGCATAGCACATTGATACATTGGAAAGTTAGAAGACATTTAACCAGTAAGTATAAACTAGTGCTTGTGATACCTTGGAATTTAAGGTATAAGACTCCTAATTTAAGGAGTCTGTTTTTAGAGATAATATTTCACATTAAACTTAACATTAATATTATAAATCACAAGTGCCTTTGAATTACTCCATATAGAGTGTATGCCACTATATCTCCCCATATCTGCCTTCTATATAACATACTGCATGATTGAATCTAGACCTTGGAATGTCTCCTGAGCTGCATAGACCAATGTCTATAATTGCCATCAGCCGGTGACCCCATTCTTTTAGAGCACATACCCAGTAAACAGAAGATAAGCCAGAAATTAAAATTCTAGGAAATTTAATAATGATAAAAATGATTATATAATTAATTTATTGATGAATTTTGCTTCAGTGTATTGAATGCATACAATAACTCTGTAAGCTTGACTTAGATGTGGAAAATTTGCTGTTTCAGTGAAGTCTGGTTTAGTTCATTTCATATTTTCTGGCTAAATCCTTAAATTTCTCTGTTTGGTTTTAAACAATTCTGCCTTTGTTTTGAGACTTCAGATGTCTTTACATACAAGCAGTTATCTTTTACTTGCTGACCAGACTACCATTATTCTTTATAACTCTGTATCCTCACGGGTGAGGCTAAAGCTGGCAATTTAACGTCACTGATATTTCTATTCTGGGAAGATATATATATTTTTTAACTCTGCTGGGTATTGATTTAGCGGGAATCCTGTCTTTCTCACTTCACTAACACCTAATTCTAACTTGGAAACAGAATTTCAGAAGAGAAAATGAGCCCAGCATCTGTCCATGTTGTAAGGCACCACGATCTTGGTGCATATGCTCCAAGGACAAAAATGAGCTGAGCAACAGTTCCATTTTTCCTAATGCAGTGCAAATTTTGAAGAGTACTGATCAAAAAAGAAACTAAAGACAAAGGAAAGATAAGCAGGAGACAATACGTTCCTAGAGTCAGAAAATAATAACTATGTCCTAGACATGGATATGTGTTCAGGGCATGGATCAAGGCATGTGAGTCACCTGGGGGTGACTCAAGGTAGAGATGAGGGCTAATAGGCAAATTATTGCTTATGAAATTCTCTGGTGATGCATCTTAACCCCTCATTTGTGTAAGAGTTGGCTTGGTTTCCCCTCTCATTTGGGACTATTTTGGCATCAATGTCACCAACTCTACCCCTGCTGTTTCAGTTCTTAGCTCTGCTCCTACCTTCTCTGACTAGTGTCTGGGTTTCGTTAATGATTCATTTATCATGTGGTAGGGGCAATGTTCACGCTCCTGCCAACTCTTTTGTGCTGCCTTCACTATCAGCCAAACTATTAGTTGCTGATGTCAACATTTTCAACCTCATTTTTCTTAACTTAAAAAAAATGGAAAGAGATAGAGTTTTCTCCAAATTTGGAAATTTCAAGTATATTATTTGATTGTCTCTCTCAAAAGGTGTCTTTCAAAAGCTCCTGAAAGAGAATCCGCTCTCTAGTTTCAGGGAGCCTTGATTCTATCCAATGACTAGACCATGGGAATTTTCAGGTTCAAGCCATGTAAACTTCTACACGCATTTAAATTAATTAGGAAGACATATTTAAATGCATTAATTGTGTGGCTGCACGCATCACACTCCCAATACCTTGCCTCATGCTGACATCAAGCCTTGATAAGCCTTTCATGGGACTTAATTGAAACAATCACCTGTGTCTTCAGGATACTTACGGGCCTCAGGGTTTCTGTCACCCATGAAGCTATCTAATTTGAACCTCAGCTGGTCAAAATGTAAATGCCAACATAGTCTTAGGGATAATAAAAGGGATTGTTTCCAAATGAGTCTTGGTAGTTTTTTTTCGTTTTTCTTTTTGAGTCATGCCTTTTGTTTAAATTATGATTTTGTCTTTTTAGAATCAAAAGAAACACTGTCCTTCCTTCAGCCATGAAAGCTATTTGCATGTAGCTGAAGTAAATGCACAGAAGTTGTAACGATTCTGTCAAGATAGTGTTTGTAAAGTTAACACACTCTCTATTGCACTGTAGTTATTTATAGTTTATCAGAGAAATTCAGAATTCCTTAAGTAGATTTTAGCAGTCCTGAATACTACATATTAAGTGGTGTGTACTTGAGAAGTATGAAATAATTTGTAATCCTCTTACATTAGAGCAGTAAAAAAAAAAATCAATTTTATGTTTTCACTAGTACATTATGTTTGTATCTATCTCCACAGAGAATACTAAAGACTAGTTGCCACACCATTGCAAGAAGCAGAAAGTAATGTGTAAATTGTTTGGGAGGCATTATTGATCTGGACAAAAAATATTTCACTTTTATTATAACTGTTGCCATCCAAAACAGGAAATATATGGCTGTTAACATCTTTTATTTGAGCATACTGGACATGTTATTGTTATCAAAATGTTGTATTTTCAGCATAGCAAGGAGAGCTGCCAACCTGTTTTATGATGCTTGTTGGAGTCCATCATTATGACCAATATTGTGCATGATCTGTATGGTTGAAATGATCTCATTTTGTGGAAATAACTTGTGTTTCTCATTTTGTGCAAAATAAAATTATTGGCTTATTGAGATACCCAGTTGCAAAAAACCAAGAAAAAGGAAATCAGTTTATACTATAGGGTGAAAGACTTCAGATAGATGTAAACAATAATATCTTGGCTATCAGAGTTGATAAATGTAGAAGTCAGTCGAACAGGGAGATTCTGAAACTTCATTCTACTAAGATCAGTATAACCCAATTACATGGTTTTTAGTCACTGTTGTTTGGTTGATTGCTATGATATATTTGCGATTCAACATAAATGGGCTACTCTAGCAGGTGTATCAAATCCAGCCATTCTGTTGAGGCAATATTCTATGTTCAAGTTTCATTCTAAGTAAATTAGCTTCATATTTAAAAATTGTAAATTAATACAATAATAAAGTATTAATTTTAAGAATAATAGTACCAACTGAAAGTTGGTGGCATCCAATCGCAATGTAGTTCTATTAGATATGCTATCTAACCAGCAAAACAAAGAATGGAACATAAATAGCATTTATTAAGTAAAGGAGGAGAGCAAAGTCATGAATGTTCTACTGAGAAGTGAAGAAAACCCAGATGTGGGTAATAATTGAAACAATTAGTTGATTGAATAAATTGGAGAAAAAAATTCTCAGAGGCTTATACAAACATTGTGATGAATGTTAGCTGAAAAGAAATCCGAAGACAAGAAGGATTGAATATCATCATCATTTAGGATTGACAAGGAACCAGGAAATTTTAGTTCAAACATCCGTATATTGCTAGAGGTCACTTTCCAGTGTTCCCTCCATTTGGTCACTTAGCATCTGCTTAAACCCTCCTTTCAAACTACCCAATTAAATCACTGTATAGTTTATTATTATTAAATACCTTGATATTTTGTTGCAGTGTCCTTTTCAAAGATGGCATTCTAGTTCTTTTATTTCAATATGACAGGAATTTTTTAAATTAATTTATCGAGACCACTATATGTTCTCATATATGCTGCCCCCCCACACACACAGATCCTTTATCACATTTTCAATGTTTAAAAATCAGAATAAGTAAGGGAGATCCTTATGCAATCATTTTTATTTATTTCATTGCCACCTGCTTTTCTTCATTTCAAACATTAAGTATATTTCACATCCATAATTTTATGTTTACAAAAAGATCAATCCTTTCAATATATCTTTATAGCTACAGGCCATAGAGTTATTTCAATTCTTTCTATCATATTTTAAGTGTACCTTCTAAAATTGAGAGTATACGTGTTACTATGTTTAGTTTTCTCCTTTCTTTCACTCTACTGAAGATGTCTATAGCATCTTTGCAGTATTCTGTCATTAGTCACTGTGCTTTCCAAAAATTAGTTACTACCACAGGTTTCTTCATTTCACTCTCTAGTAGGGTAATTTTTTTTTTTTTTTTTTTTTTGAGACAGAGTCTCACTCTCTTGCCTGGGGCGAGTGCCGTGGCATCAGCCTAGCTCACAGCAACCTCAAACTCCTGGGCTCAAGCAATCCTACTGTCTCAGCCTCCCGAGTAGCTGGAACCACAGGCACATGCCACCATGCCCAGCTAATTTTTTCTACATATATTTTTAGCTGTCCAATTAATTTCTTTCCATTTTTTGGTAGAGACGGGGTCTTGCTCTTGCTCAGGCTGGTCTCGAACTCCTGAGCTCAGAACGATCTGCCCGCCTCGGCCTCCCAGAGTGCTAGGCCACCGCACCCGGCCTTTAGTAGGGTAATTTTTGAATGAACCTTTTCACCCCCAGGTACCCAGCCAGTTCTAATATTTATCAAAACTGTGTCCTCAACTCAAGTACATTTTACTGCCTAGAATCTATTGATGTGGATAGACATATGCAAAGTTTAATGATAAATATTATTCTCATGCATGATTATCTGTGAATAATTAAAATTATTTTATATTGTACATTTTGTCAGGAAAAATGTCCTATTCCCTTAGGATGATGAAGGGATAATAAAGATTCCTTATGAAATTCTAATTTAAAGCTGAGATATAAAAATGGTTTACATAAAACTTCTAAGAGTAACAGTTTAGCTGTCAACAATCATTATTATTTTGATGACACTAAGCTGATTATTTTGAAAACCTGCATTACCTGAAAGCAACCTTTCTGGCCTATCTGAATGAGGGAGCTTATTTGTCAGAGAGAGCTAATCTCCTTTTTGAACC